CCTAGAAATGTCAAAAACTGAAAGTGGAGATAGATTTTTTCTGTAAAAAACTTTCAAAAATGGCCATTTTTGACATTTTTTCTTCCGGAAAACGACCATACATGAATCTATAACCACTAATTAATTTTTGAAGAATTATTTGAATCATCTTGGAACTCCACAAAATCAGATAAAAAATTCTGAAATTATGGTTTTAGACCTGCAATTGTGATCGCGCCAAACTTTTTTTTTCTGTAGATCAAAAATTAATTTGCAGTTCGGAATTGTTCTGTGGGAGAGCGTGTAGTTAACAAATTTGTTCTAAGTTCCTTTTGAGATATGCGCCTTTAAAGTTAGCTGGCGTTCGTTGGGTGCCGCCAACAGCTAGAATTTTTCAAAGAGGCATATCTCAAAAACTCGGAAAGTTACAAAAAAGTTGCCAACTACAAAAAAAACTCTATTTGTGTTTAGTCCACTCTGAAATTTTCAGACAAACCCAATTAAAATGAAGTACTTTTGCATTGCTTTGAACTTTGCAACTCTCTAATCCAATACATTATTTACAGTATCCCTTATCCAATGGTCGAAGTATGAATAGTTCAATGATTGAAGACGAAAGAACACTGATAGCTCAATTGGAAGAAGAGAATTCAATGATGGTACGAGAAATGGCTCGTCTGGAGAGTCAAACAACGTCCGATGATGGATTGGCAGGATTAAGAGATCGGAAAATGGAATTGGAGGAGAAAATGTTTGAAATGCAGCAGCGCCGGAGAGAGTTAATGATGCAGTTGGAGCATTTGATGGCACAGTTGAATGTAATTTTTAAAGCAAATGCGCTCTATTGAATTTTTCAAAACTTAAAATTCAGACCGGCCCTCAACCAACCGGAGGTGTCTCATCGGCGTCCCTATCCCAATTACCATTTGCTTCGGATCAACAGTTAACCGGAGTGAACTCAAATGTGGCGAATGCATTCCGTGCTGGAAGTCTTCCGGCCACAAGTTTACAAGGAGATCTACTACATGCCGCTGATCAAATTACAACCAATATGAGTGATTTGGTTAGGCAGTTGGATTTAGGTTAGTTTTTTCAAAATCTTGTTACGAAACCGCGCTCAATCGCACTTTCTGAAATTGTTGGTGAGATTTTGAAAAAAAAAACACGAGACCCTATAAAATCCGGAGAAAAAAATTTCCGGGGAAAAAACTGCGGAGAAAAG